GTGAGTGTGGATGTGGGTGTCACTGAGTGCGGGTAACCCCCTTATTCGAACCCACACCCCCCCCCCCACCCCACCCACCCCCCCACCCACACCCACAACCACACCCACACCGACACCCACACCGCATACCCCACACCTCACACCCACACCCACCCTAAATTTAATTTGAAATCGAATGAGATAGGTTTTATTGCCCGGAGATGCCGGTAAACTTGACTTTTTGATTGAAAACATTTAATATGTGCCGCGCTCTTTAATTGTTGCCATCGTTATGGTTGTTAATATGGAGAACCAAAAATTAATGGTGAATTTGCACTAAATTTATTTTATTCTATGCTCATGTGCAACTTGTCAATATCCACTTGTTAAAAAGTATTTCAGCATCTTGTTCGAAGTAATTCAGATTCTTCTCTTACGAAAAAAAGTAAAATAATGTCATATTCATGTGTTCTATGTTGTCGAACAACAAAAATAAATAGAAATCTACTTTTTTAATTTGAACTATTCCACTAAAAAAATGATCATGATTTACTGATATTTTTATCTTTTTTCATAATATTTTTGTATCATTTAATAAACTAACACACATTTTTTCAATCATTCATAATTTTAAGGTTTACTTTTATTTTTTCTAATAATAAAATTAAGTATTTATTCATTCAGTTAAGGTAAAAAAACAGTAGTGTGGTTTAAGCCTCTAGAAATAAGCTCTTACTCAATTTACACAACTTCTTCATATTGAAGTCAGAAAAAAATTGTTGACACATCAAAATTTTATGAACATCGACAGATAACTTGTGAAGAAAATGTAGTGAGCGCTGGGCGTTCATATATTTTCATGTCAATCTCTCTGGAAACAAGCCCCTTTCAAGATGCATTCTTAGTAAAATGATACAAGCTAGAAATGAACTTGTTATAATAAAATTAGATTTTCCATCTTTGATCATATGATATAAAAATCTTGAGAAAATACTCGTAGGAAAAATTTAAAAATAGATGTCACTGATGAGAAGTCCATCTGCTATTAATTGCACGAAAGAAACGATTTTCGACCCCTCTGACAACACACCAAATCATGATCACTGAGATTTTATGCTCGCTTTTGATTTTCTGCATTTGTAGCCCAGGAAGCCCATCAAGAGACGTCCCAAAATGCGAAGCTAGCAGATGAGCATAAAACCTTGTGCGAGAGCTAACTTTTCGAATTGGCTGTTCGTTTGAATCTGGTTGAATAGAATTTTTCTGTGATTGTATGCTCTTTCCAGTTAGGAACGATAGCCAAGAGCTGCTTTGAGTGGTCACATAAACACTCATGAGAGCTGCTGATGAGACTTCACATTATCAACAGTGAGAGTAACGTCATGAGGCTTATATTAGCAGTTTCTGAAGCTGCTAATGAGAGCTCTCAATATCAGTAGTAAGAGTGCGCTCATGACTACTCCCTGGTACTGCTCATGATAGCTCACATTAGTCCTCAGTGGAACTGCTCATGGGTGCTCATATGAGTGCTCACTGGAGCTACGCATGAGTGCTGATAGATTGTGTTATACATCGAGGATACGATAGTGTTGGGCCGTTTCCAAATGTAGTGCCGCTGTATACGGTTCCGGATACGGTCGTTTACAGGGAAATGTGGCCGTTATACGGCCTAGATACAACCGTATACTTCAGTTGTTCCCGACCGTTTACGACACGGCGCATATACGTTCGTAAATTGATGGTGTACTATCGTATACGGTCGTGTGGGACCGTATCATGTCGTCGTTATTTTCGTCCTGGGTAATCATTCAATTCGGCGTATTCGTTTTGTCTATTGCAATATATCCATGAGGGCTCGAAATGAATTTGAACGAAAAATATCAACAAGAAAAGGCATTTCATTTTTTTTGCTTTCAAATAATGACGTAGTGAGGCACACTTGTTCGGGAACGAACTGTATGTATTACTATACATATGTAAAGAAAAAGAAGTTAGATACACTACTGGCCATAAGTCCCTGGATGTATGAAACTTCGAGTGAAGATCAATCGTTTTCCATGATATTTTCACCAGAGATGCAGCTTGAAAAACTGTGATCGTCAGTACCAATCCGAGCTCGAATACGCTGAGTAAAACTGGAGTTAGGGATCAAACACGACTTTCACTCAGGTAAACACAATCTCGATATTTAGAGAAATTTTCAACCTAGCTCACTCTTGCTCCTGAAGACTGCTACTTGTTACATCTCCGATATAAGTTTTTTAGAAGAAATTGGTGATATTCAGAAACATAACAAGCAGAAAGTTCGAAATAATGGATGAACCAGGCTGAGAAATCCTTTGAATATCGCAATTGTGCTTACCTGACTGAAAATAGTATTTGGTCCCTAACTCCAGTTTTACTCAGCGTATTCGAGCTCGGATTGGTACTGACGATCACAGTTTTTCAAGCTGCATCTCTGGTGGCAATACCATGGAAAACGATTGATCTTCACTCGAGGTTTCATACATCCAGGGACTTATGGCCAGTAGTGTATATTGGAAATAAAAATTAAATAAAGAATTATTTTTCACATCAGAAACTTCCTAATCAAAATAGAAATGTTCAAGATTGTTTTTTGCACGACACATATTACCGATGGCCCCTTCTCTTTGCTATTTCAAAAATAAAAGAGTCAGGCTGAGGGTGTGGATGAAGAAAAGAACTTCATCCTAATTCACACCCCAAAAGTCAATATTACACTGGATGAGTATGGGATGTCGCTGTTGGAATTATCCATTGCGTCACACTCACGTACCACATTCCACACTCATACCCTTCCTACGACAAAACTTTTACGCCATGATAAAAACAATTGAATTCTATAAAAAAAAAACAGAACGTATGAATTCCTCGTTGGTAATGTCTGGTGCAAAAAGCGTCAAGCAATAAGAAACGTGGCGTCGATGGAAGTAATAAAAGAGAATGATGACTTACTCTACAGGAGGTCGACTTTGTCAACAACGATGCGAATGGAGAATGCAATAAAAATCGTAGCTGAATTTGAATCAGTGTACGATTCCTCAGCGAAGTATTTCTGATTTCTTTCACCATGCTGCTTGTTTTCAAGTTAGAATGTTTTATGTTGTCAGTCATTTTAGGGTGAGGATAATTTTAATTGAGAAAGAGACTTAAACTCTTTAGAGATGTACAACAAATGTGATGAATAACGCCATTCGTCAATGATAATTATTCACTAGTGCAATACTAAAGACTGCATTTGAAGTGTTTCGATCAGTGGGTTTTATAAGAGACTTTTTAAATTAACAGGTGTTATTTTTAACAACAGCTAAAGCTTTGGTAGATGACCGACTCGTTGCGGTGATTGCTACAGGCTGCGATTAAATAAAAAAATTAGTATGGCTAGATATCAGTAACGTTCGCTTATGTTAGGTTATAGTATGTGGTTTTTCGCTGCGAACGGCCATAGCTATTAATAGTCGATTTTTTTAAATAAAATACATAGTTATTTGAACATTCAGTCTTTGTTTGAATTGCAATAATTATAGGATTTAACGATTAGCATGGTAGACAATGGTAAAATACTGCGAACAAAACTTCCTCGTTTGGAGAGCTCAACGACTTGGAGAATTCGACGATCTCTACGTCGGTTCGGTAGATCACTCCTTCAAATGCTGAGACCATCATGTACTCGTCGAAATCCTGACGCAGCTTACGAAGTGCGATTTCCGACTTCTTCAGCACACAACGAGTTGGGAAATCGTTCGCCAGACGACCAAGAAAAATTGAACAATGGATCGCCGGATAAGAAGGAGATTCAAGCGAACAAGTCAGACGACAAAGCAGTTATCGACGATATTGACAGGTCAGACAACAAAGCAGTTATCGACGATATTGATAGGTCAGACAACAAAGCAATTATCGACGATGTTGGCACCACTGGCCTAGGCGTTCCGAATGAAACAAAAGTGCCAAAGAAATCTATTTGTATTGAAGATCGAACTTGGAGTATGTAACGCGATTTTGATCAGTAGAGATAACTGCAACTGGTAGTGCTGAAATCCTAATATGAAGATACGCCTCTTGTACCGGAAGCTATTTTTTGGAATAAAAGAAAATTAATGCTCTTGATTGCCTGGGATATCTAGTAATATGTTCAAGTTTTCTCATAATATCGTTGTCCTTGTTGAGTTTCGCTGACTCAAACAACTGACACAATCTTGCTTGCGCTACAACTTCGAGGTTCTCAGCAACATGGAACGCAGAGCTAAATGAGTACGATAAATGTCTCTCCCTTTCTCACTCGACATCCCAACACTTTATTATGCTACTCACATTCTGGCTGAGGGGATGATAGTATCGAAATAAGTGCTGTTAGTTCTGATTATTTTTCAGGATGCTTTCTCTATTTATGGCGTTGTTTCTTATAGAGCAATACATGGCTACTTCTCCAGGTTCCATTACGTTTTGCACGACACAAAATATCGTTCCATGTGAAACACAGCATGTTCAATCAATGAATTTCTCACCAGAAGATCTAAATCGTTGGTCGAACAAGTCAGATAGAAAGAAAAATCAGATACTGTCTCTAGAGAATGGGCAAACAAACTATCCAATGGTGAAGGATTGTCACGGTCGTGTTAAAAATGCTTTTGTGGCTACTATATTCACGGCGTATTGTGATCATTATCCACTCGAATTATCTGTTGAAGACTTTTGGGTTGCTATTGCTCAAGGTGTCGGTATTCATTTGAATGAGAATGCTGAGAAGTTTCGTCATCTTCTTGTTTCACACGAAGGGAAAAAGATGTTAGTATTACCCGTTGATAATCTTCGCATTCCGGAATTAGATCGACCGGCAGGCGGAAATAAATCTGTTCCGGCTATCAACTGGCCAGAAGCCGTTCAACAAATGTGCCAAATGATTAGAAAGGACATGAAAATGGATCTCACTACATTGATGACCAAAAGATTTTCAAACACTACCAGCATTGAAGGAACTGTCTTCGACTGTACTATGATGGATAGTGTCAAATCATACTATGACTATGGATTCAGCTTGACATGTGGCAGTGAGTATTTGGTATGGTCTGTGAGATTAAATAGAAAATGAGTACGACGACGTTAAAAGCATTTTTCTCATCGTTTTTCAAGAGAACCATCTTAGCCCATGAATAATCGACTAATATTCTCTTAGAATGTTTTCAGCGATGAATAAATATTTCTATACATAGTTGTGTGCCGTAGTTTACCTGTGAGCACACAAAATAATGAAAACTCACACTTTTATTTGATTCTTGTAGTTCCACAAGTAACACTTCGTGGTTCGCCCGCTGACTTTCAAGAACTAATTGATCGAGTTCAACAGCTCAAACTACTCTTCACTGACTTTCATTGGTGGTTTGACGCTCTATTGCCCAATCTTGAAAAGTTGAAAGAGAGCGCCGAAGGAAAGCCCGATATTGATTGGTGGCAAAAGATTTGCCATCAGGACAACAGTGGATCAGGCGTCAATCTTTTATTAGGATGGCTGGCAACTTTTGTTCCCGTAAGATTTTAATTACTGTTGTTACAGAGCGCGACAGCTTTCTGAGCATACAATCTCGTAGACTAAATGAGAAAAGGCAAAGCATTGATTAAAATCTTCTCATTCTAGTGTTTATATGCACTGTTATCCTTTCAAGATATGTTTGTAGCAAAAAACTGTTCTGTTTTAGTACACAATGGATGACAATGGTCACTACATAAAAGCTTGTCATGAACATCATCATCGAGAGCATGTATGCATATTGTTACTCCACTACAAGTTAATGTACGAATTACTTTTCCTTTCATTCTTAGGGTATGGTCTATGGAATCGACTTCAGCGATTTAGAGGAGAGCATTACTCAAACAGGATTCTTCTTAGACGATAATGGAAATAGAACATCAATGCAGCTAATTGCTGGATTTCTTGGCATCGGCCAGAATCCAGAGACGAATGCTCTCCGTCCATGCCTTGGCTGGGTGACCGCGGTTTCGTCAGAAGAAGTAGTCCCTCAACTTTACTACGTCAAATTCAAGAAGGGTACACCTGCTGAAGAAATCGACAGGTATTTATTATGATGCTTCTGATTACCATCACTGTTCACTTAATTATAGAATCAAAGAAAAAATTGTGAAAGAAGGCGGCAAAATTGATTTTCAGTTTGGTGTCGGTTACACTTCGCTTATAGTTGCACTTTTTGATTGTTCAGTTCCATGGCTTAAAGAATGTGAGAATATTGAACATGCAGAATTAAAGCACCCAATGTGATCTTTTTCATGTGATGTTTTGATGTATTCTCTGCTATAATGATTGGCATGATACACTTAGATTCTTTGGATAATTCTTAATTGTGCCTTTTACTCCTTATCACCGTTCGTTTTGTACCAGATTATTATTTATTCATTAATAAAGTTGCTCGCTTTCTTGCTAGTAAAAGCAAACTTTCAGCTGTATGTACAAGAAAATTTCAGCTTGAAAAAATCAAAAGAACTCTGAAAGGCACAAAGAACACACTTGTAAGAAAAGTTTCCTACAATCACCTGTGGGTGTGGGTGTAGGCGTGTAGGTGTCACTGTGCGATGTGGACATCATTCTACCCTGTAATCATACCCAACACAGCCACAGACACCCACCCCCCGTTTTGATCAGTGAGAATTTTTCTCTTTTCCAATTACCCATATCCCTAAATCATATATCATATCTTCGAACATTAAAGGAAATGGAACCCAAAATACGGACCACCAACGTTGTGAAAGTTCCAGAATATAAAAACGAACAACTTCTGAAACGCATTACTGACAATGGGAACAATTCACGTCTCGATTTGAGAAATTCGAATTTGACTCATCAAGATATGGAGATTGTGGGCAGTCAATTAAAAACTAATATGGTAAGAAATCATTATGCTTCTCTTTGCCGTTTAGATTATTTATGTAGTATAAAAGCATGGTAGTTCAGAGGGCAACATCAATAGTTTACTAAGTTTTCTTCTCCTTTTTGAAAAACTTTCCCCACATAAAGTTAGCAATGAAATACTCAACCCAAGATAAGTTGATAACGCAAATGAATTATGTTAAGTCTCCTTTTACTAGAATGAATTTAAGGGCAAACGTGAGGTCATGTCTAGGAGAAACATAACTTTTATTTTAGAATAAAGGAAAATCAGTCCCCACTGTATATATCACTAGGTATAACAAGAAAAAAGAAACGATAGAAATGTAAAAAGAGAAAATGAACGACAATATAGATGTCGGACATAACAACCTTCCCGGACAAGAAAAAAGTTTTTTTTGTTCACAAAAACACTT